TCAGATTGATCCTACTGAATACAAGAAAAACATAAGTGAGTGGATAAAAGAACTGCTACAAAAAAAAAAAAGAGCTTCCCAAATGTAAGTCACTTTGAAAAGTTGCAAAATGCTTCTTGGATAAAGAGGATTTACCAGTTTTTATTTTTTAATCATACCTTCCTTCACTGAGGCAAAGTAATAAACCACCTCATCTAATCTATAAAAGCTCATGGAATGGAAATACAAAAACACTTGGCAGCAGTAAGTTGTATCAAATGTGAATAGTGGAAGGAATGTAGGATTTAGAGTCAGAAGGCTTGGATTTAGATCCACAATTACAACTGCATTATTCTTCAACATTGTTCCCCATGCACTAGCCACAAACAAGCAATTTACCCCTAAAGGATTCAAAATGCCTAAGAAAGATTTGGGGAAAATGTCATATTTCACTAATAATCAAAATTTTATTTTTAAAATGAAGGTTCTAGTCCAGCGGTTCTCAACCTGTGGGTCACGACCCCTTTGGGGGTCAAACGACCCTTTCACAGGGGTCGCCTAAGACCATCGGAAAACACATATTTTCGATGGTCTTAGGAAGCAAGACACCACTCCTCTATCCGTCTTCAGGTGGGTCCGCCCACATGCAGATACGCCCACATACGAATACCCGGCTTCAAGACAAAATTTCATTTATTTGTAATTAGAAATAAATATTTCACAATATATAATTATATATTGGTTTGTGATTAATCACTATGCTTTAATTATGTTCAATTTGTAACAATGAAAATACATCCTGCACATCAGATATTTACATGATTCATAACAGTAGCAAAAGTACAGTTATAGAGTAGCAACGAAAATAATTTTATGGTTGGGGGTCACCACAACATGAGGAACTGTATTAAGGTGTCATGGCATTAGGAAGGTTGAGACCCACCGTTCTAATCTATTCAATTAGCAAAGTATTTTGTTATTTTTACAAAAAATAAATTGGCTCTGAGTATTAATGAGAACTGAGAATTGATATGGGATGTAAATTGTTTCAACCTGTGTTAGAAGACAATTTAGCAACTTAGCTCTTGGTTCTATGACCCTGCCTAAGGAAATATTTTAAAATGAGAAAATCCTTAAGTAAAAACTGCCCACTGCAATATTATTTACAATGCAGGAAAATTAGAAGCAACTTCAATGTCCAACAGAAAGACATAGTTCAGTACATTTATTTAGAGAATTATGTTTATAAAGATAGGACAATACTCATGTTATAAGCTCAAAAAAAAACACCCAGTAAACACAATGGTCTGATTTCAGCATTTAAAATTGGCATTTTAAAATGCATTTAAAATTCCAAGATACAATAAGCAGTTGAATGGGTAGTTTTCATCATTTCCTTTATTTTCTGTAATTACTACAGTTTTTTAAATATAACTTTTGGACACTGCATCTAGTACTCAAATGCAGTTTTAAAATTTTTCTGAAGGTACTCAAATCTTTAGAAAATATTTTCTTAAACATAAACATAACATCTAAAATATAACACCTAAAAGCAAATATTTTGGATAAAATTCAAGGACAGCATGTTCTTTCTTTTCATATATTAACTTTGTAAATTACAGAAAAGATATGGATGATATAATTGCCCATTTCATACCTTCAGGTTATCTGGCAGTTCTGATCGTCCTGCATACCCAGGGTTCATTGTTATAAACACAGCACAGGTGGGGTCAAGTTTTAGTTCAGTTCCTTCAAACACTAGTGTATCAG